GACATACTTTTCTACCTTCAAACAGAAGAGGAAGCTGACCATTCTGACATGCACAATCCAAGACCAACCAAACAAAAAAAACCCCAAAGACCATAGTGGGCCATTGCAGGACTGCCAACCAATACCATCTTCTAAACTATTCATTTCCCAGCAGGTAAGAGTGTGTGACCTGAGCAGCTTGGAACTAAATCAGTTTGACCTGATTCTGAGTAAATCAAAGGGTCTAGATTTAGAACTGAAAGAGATCTGCCTAGGGTGATCCAGTCTCATCATTTTAAAAATGATGAAAATGAGATAAAACCTTTTAGTGGGAGAGGTTTACCCTGTGTATGTTTATAACTAGTTTCTTTCAAAAAATCAATTGTTATCTCCTTCTTACCCTAATTACCTTGTATTTATTTTATAAACACACATATACATACATGTGCATGTACATATATCTATTGACACACATATGTCTCCCATTAGAATGACAGCTCCCTGATCACCGATGTTGTTTCATTTTTAAAATTTGTGTCTTCATCACCACAACACAGCAGCTGGCACATTATAACTGCTCAACAAACGCTTGTTAATTAATTGGCAGATGGATGGATGCAGCTAACAGGTAGGTCATGTTTTTTTTCACAGGGAAGGATGGAGAAGGATTTTCCAGCAGCCAGGGAATTATACCATGTAGATAAATTTCTACTGTATGATGCACAGTTCAAAGCTGAAAGTGTCACAGAATTCTGCTTTCAAGGTATCCGAGTCATTGCACACACAATGAAGATTATTTCATAATGAATTCTCTGGTAAATGAAGCCCATCCAAAAAGCCTAACATCCTTTGGATTCCTGGAAGAATATTCTAACTATGTAAGACATACTCTGATTTTGTTTTTTATTAGCTACATGGAGACATGACTACTTTATTTGGTCAAAATTATTTGCTATTTCACTAAATTCTAGTGAGGTACAGTGGAAAGAATACTTGACCTGGAGTGAACAGATGTTGGTTTGAATTCTAGCCCTAGCACCAACTAGTAATGAAATCATGGGAAAATCATGCTAATTTCTCTTGACTTTAGTTTCCTCATTTTTCAAAAGAAAAAGATGGGCTAGATGATCACTAAACTCCTTTCCAGCTCCAACTTTCCATTACTCTGTGGAATTTAATTCTATTAGTGGAAAGAGATTTGTAAAATACTGTATAAGAACAAACTGGCAAAAACAAACAAGCACACAAAAACGCAGACAGTCAGTAAATAGTAAGGCACCATGGTGTGATCAAAATGGAAGCTAGGGTCAGAGGATCCCCCCTCAAATCTAGGATATTCTACTCACTTCTTGTGTGACATTAAGCAAGTCACTTTATCCTTCTAGACTCATTTGTAAAATGATGTGGCTGGGTTCAATTTTCTCTGGTATCCCTTCCAGCCCTTCCATAAGCCTATGAAAATGCTATCCAGAATGGATGGTAGTTCACACGAGGATCTAAACTAAAAGTAATAACTAATGGAAAAGGCTGACAAACGAAACAAAACAAATTGCTGCTGATAACAGCAAGAGCCCAAAGCCCGTCAGTGTCTAAAAGGGATAACATTGACAGATATGAATTTTTATATTTCAAGGGAGGGATAGGGATCTTCAAATAAATCTTCTACATTTTCTTTTTAAAGATAAATGCTTTAAAATAAACATCTGTAGCCTGGATGGATAGCAGGAGCAAGTGTCCTTATCTTAGACACCATCACAAATAACTCCCAGAAAAATGGCTTTTTAGCCATCCTAAAAGAATCCTTTTCACTTTGAAGAGCAAGAGAGATTATAAGCTGATGCCTTAAAGCTAAAAGGATTTCTGTGTAGCTATGAATGTTGCTAGGACCACTGAAGGGAGACTGTCCTACTCCTTTACCTAGAAGTTGTTGTTGTTTGCTCTTCATTCTTGAAGAGGACAAATGACCTCACGAGGGTGATATCTTGACTCATGAGTGTAAATTCAAGCAGACCTCATTTTATGCAGTGAGAATGTCTGTGAACACTTGCCTTCAATCAAGTGTTCGCCATTCAAATCCATATTTAATTGCACTTAAGATGTTTGCTGTTTAAATGAAACCCCTTCTCCCTTTGATAAAATAAACAATATTTTCCTCCTTAAAGAATCTGCTTGTGATTTTAGATTTTCCTATATTGAGCAAATATATCTGGAAGACTTTCATCATTAAAAGTCAAAAGGACTTTAGAATTTATCAATTCAATTTAATCTGATGTTAGTTTTTTATAATACATTAGGAATGTGGACATTTTTTGAGGCAGTTTGCAAAGAATTGCAAGGGAATTGCTAAGGAGAAGCAACTAACAAGTACTGGATTTTACCTTTTGATCTAGAGGGGAAAAAAGGTCCCATGTACACCAAATATTTATAGTAGCCCTTATTATAGTAGTAAATAACTAGAAACAAATTGGATGCCTATCAACTGTATAATGGTTAAACAAGTTGTGACACATGAAAGTAACGTAATACTCCGGACTTTAAGAAATGATAGAGATGGCAAATACAGAGAAGCAGTGAAAGGCTTATGTGAACTGATGCAGTGGAACAAGAACCAGAAACAGCATGCACATGAACTACAACAATGTAAATAGAATGACCACAAAACAGAAGAAATACCATTCTATGAAATCATAGTGGCCAAACTTGGCCCATGTGCAATCATCTTTTTATTCTATTATCTTATGGAAATATTTGTTTTATTACATAAATTAAAAATAAAATAAATTTTTAAAAAAGATGAGATATAGGAATGTACTTCCCTCCCTTCTTGGGAAAGGTGGAAACTTTGGGTATGGAACACCACAAAAATGTTGGACTTGGTTGAGTTTTGGTTAATTCTGCTGAACTGTTCTTGTATGTATTACATACATGTATGTATATATTTATGTGTATATGTATTTTTTCCAGAACAATGTTTTCATTGCTATAGGGAAACTCCTAATGATGAATCTCCTCACACTAATACAGATCTATTCTTGTTTTGTTGCTTTAAGTCTCAGAGTTGCTGGAGGTCATTGTTAGCTTAAGTGACTTGCCCAGGGTCATACAACTGGCATTTGAGGATGATTCTCTCTGCCTCTAAGCATTGTGCTAACAAATTAAAATAGGAGAACTAGGATTCTTTCCTCTTTTAGAGAAAAAGGTGTTTGGAAACATACCTTTCGAAACCTGGAAAGACTTACATGAACTGATGTGAGTGAAGTGAACAGAAATGGGAGAACACTGTACACAGTAACAGCAACATCGTGCAATGATCAACTATGATAGACTTAACTATTCTCAGCAATATAATGATCCAAGACAATTCCAAAGGACTCATGATGGAAAATTCTTATCCCCATCCAGAGAAAGAACTATGGAGTCTGAATGCAGATTGAAGCATACTATGTTTACGTGTGTGTGTGTGTGTGTGTGTGTGTGTGTGTGTGTGTGTGTGAGTTTTCCATTTTGTTCTGTTTCTTCTCTTACAGATCAGATTACTTGCTGTCTTGGGCAGGGGGGAGAGGAGGGAAGGAGGGAGAAAATATTGGGACTCGAAATCTTTCAAAAACTGAATGTTGAAAAGTATCTTTACAAGTAATTAGAAAAAAATAAAATACTATTTATAAATAATAAGAAATATACCTTTTGACTTGGAGAAAGCCACAGAGTAATAAATAGTCTTCCAAAGAAAAGATTATTTGGGGGAATTTCTCAGGATTGGAAGAATCACAACCTTAAACAGAGAGATACTGCAAATACACGCACACAAGTCAGAGCCGCTGTCCTTCATAACACATATGCCCCACACAACTTATCCTCTTGTATCCTATTTAGAGTACCTGCACAGGGAATTTTATGGAATTTTCTACACATAACTGCTAATTCTTCATTTGCCCTGCCCCCTCATACTTTATAATCTTCTCTAATGAAAAAAAAAAGGCTTCTGCAAAGCTTATCTGTTAGAAGTGCAAAAGAGCCATTTTTTTTCTGCCCTAGTAGCTCATAATGTAACAGACAAACTGTCAGAAAAAATAGACTTAATAATGGTAAAAACCTCCGCCTGGCATACATCTATCATAAAGCAATCTTCCAGAAATCTTGAAAACCTTCATTAAATTTCCTGTCTTGCCCCTGACAGTTATAAAATGCTAACAATATTACTTATGATGCAAGTGTCTTCAGAAATACCTTATCATTTTTTCCTCATAACCTATTTCTTTATTTTCTTTTTTCTTTTAATGCCTGCCAAAGAGTAGGGCACATCCCCATTTCCTGATAGTAAACTCCTTGGAAGGAACTGAAAAGACAGTCAATGGTGGACTCTTCATACATTGAGCTGACTAAGCAAATCAATAGCCATAAGTTATAATCAGAGAAAATAATTTACTTCCAATTTTATTTCTATAGCCCTTTCAAAAGTTATGCCAAATCCCCATTCCCAACCACCCAAACCCCAGGGAGGTCCAAGGTCAGTATCATAAATTGTGCCTGATTTCTTTTTCATCAAAATCTATTATGGTAGAGAGCAATCTGCCATAGCTCCTTTCTGTGGGTCAATAAGAACAGGAGATCTCAGACTTTTTGGCCCATGAATCATTCCACTGGAGCAAAAGATCTCATGAACTTGGCTCATCCCTTCCACTAAACTTTATATTACTTCTACCCTTCCCCTAGTTGAGAGAGAGAGAGAGAGAGAGAGAGAGAGAGAGAGAGAGAGAGAGAGAGAGTGAGAGAGAGAGTGCACACATGAGAAACCAAGGAAGAGATATTCTTCTATAATAGCCAAGGCTCTACAGTAGACCAATACACAGGTTACCAGAAAGACTCTCGAAAACCATCAGGGCATGTGACCATTCCACCATATTTGCTGATTAAGACATTAACCCTTATTTATATAAGGCAATTGGTTTTACGAAGCTGATAATTCTCAGGCTGACATTAATAGTAAGCCAATCTGAAAACCCCTCAGCAGGGTATCCTACCTGCAAAAGGAACCGGGGCATCCTTATCCAGGGCAACGAGAGGTGGATCCAAAATAACAGTGTCATTGTTCTCAGTTATGACTCCATGGTATGAGGTTTCAATCCATGGTTTGTGTTTGTTGACTGGAAAAAAAAAAGATATAAAATGCAACTGGATGAGTTGACTAGCTCACTGCAACACATGTCTGAATCCCCAAAGGTAGAGAAATACAACTTAGCAATTAATAAGATGCTTTAATATCAGATATGTCTCTATTATATACGTTACAATGTCACAGTTAAACCAATCTACAATAAGGAAATTAGCAACAGTTCTAGCAACTATTCATTCAAACACTTAAGGTATTTTTGAGTGGTGGGGGGAGATTTTAACATTTCCTGAATCTGAACCAAATGTATGTGGATGTTTCTATAGCTAGCTATTTATCTGGGAGTTTCTATAATTCTGATTCATTTAAATACAGACTTTGTAGTCATTTACAAACATATATTTAAACTTGAGTTCATAGATTCCTTAACTTTAGTTGAACTAGAGAGTGGATTGTAGTTAACCCTTGGCTGATATAAAATGACAAAAATTCAGGCTATTACCTGGAGCAAAACAAATTGCCATTATTCAAAACATGAATGAATCACCAAGCATTTATTAAGTACCTACAGTATGTCAGGCATTATGATAGGTGCTCGGATAATAAGACCCAAATTTTTGCTCTCATGGAGCTTACATTAAATTGGGAAAGACAACATCTGCATATATAATTTCATATATATATATATATATATATATATACATATACATATATATATAAATATATATATATATATACATATATAAATATATATATATATACATATATCTACATATATATATACATATATATATATAAATATATATAAAATACAAAGTAAAAATGAAGTATTTTAAGGAAGGAAGGCACTAGCAATTGTATATAGGGGAGAGAATTTGGGAAAAAACATTATAAGTTGATGCTTGAGCTAATTCTTGAAAGATATAAGGTACCCCCACAGAGCAGACGTGAAGAAGGAGGGAGTATATTCCAGGGATGGAGGATGGTCAGTGCAAAGGAAAGGAGGTAGAAGATGGAGTGTCATGTGTGAGGAATAGAAAGGACAGTTTAGGTAGACTGAAGAGTGAGGAGGGGGAGTAAAATATAAAAAGCTGGAAAGAAAGGTAGAAGCCAGGTTGCAAAGGGCTTCATTCACCAACTTAAAGGTTTATATTTTATTCTACTCACTATAGGGAGTCACTGGAGTTGATTAAGTAAGGAAGTAATATAGTCAAATCTGAGTTTTAGGAAAATGATTTCAGCAGTTGTGCAAGTTAGACTAAAGTGAGAAGAAAATTGAAAAGAAAAACATCTGGTCCTTACTCCCAAGTTCTTCCCTAGCATATGCTCTTTGTGAGTCTTACCTGGTTTTGGACCTGCTGTTGCCCCTAAATTTAGACTATGTCTTTATAGCTGCAGGAAATGGTAGCTTGCTAACTGATCAATTCCCGACTTTGGTCTCTGGTCTATAGAGTAGTTTTAAGCTAGCAATGTAGTATTGTGTTCAGATTCCACAAGCTCTATTTCCTATTTCTATTTTAGACTATGGGCTGAGACTCACACTTTAGTCATCATTAGAGGATTTAGAGTAGGAAAGGACTTTGGGAATCATCTAATCCTATGGAGGTAAATATGCCTCTTACCTCTTGGCAGGGGACATAGAATGAGGAATACATTTTCAGGCATGTAATCATTTGTTTTATTTGACTGTACACCCACGCATATGTACATATGTATGTATATATAAGTGTGTGTGTATACACAAATATGTGTGCATATATATTACAAAGGAAGGGTCTATTGGGGGGAGTACAAGAAAGATCAATACATTATTGGGAAATGACAGGAAGTAAAATAAGAGAAAAGCATTAATAAAAGATTTAAAGAGAAAAAAGTAAAAGATCATCTAATCTAGCTCCCTCAATTTATATATAGATAATGAAACTGAAGATAAGACAGGTGAAGTATTAAAACACATTTTTGTGCCAAATGGGTAGTAAGCAGCAGAGGTGAAATGAAGCCAGGACACTCTACCCCAGAGCCCAGTGTTTTTTACATCACACCTTGGTGTGTCATACACATATATGAAAGGGAAAGGTATCATGGCATAGTGGATAATCAGCATATCTCTGTGTCAGGAAGACCTAGACTCAAGTTCCATTTCTTTATTTTTTTTTTTTTACAGCCAGAGGAAAGTTTATTAGTGATAAATCACATTGACCAGGTGACGCCCATAAATACGCGTCAAGTTCCATTTCTGAAAGATACTAGCTGTTTGACCCTGGGCAAATCATTTAACCTGTGTCCCAAGCAATTTTCTAAGCCTTTACGTTACAGAGAAGGTACAGGTCATCAGAAGCTCCTTGTACTAATGAACTTACAAGTCTGGCTCCATTTTACACAAGAGAATTTTCTTCTCTCTGTCTCTCGTTTACATACATACACACACATATATACACATGTACTTAAACACACACACATACATACACACATATGCAAAAAAAAGGAAGGGGAACAATGCCATGAACATAATGTGCAATTAATAAATGTTTGTGGGGTTAGAGTGGCATATAACTTTTGGTCAATTGTTTAGGGTGCTCAGAGTTCCCTGCCATCTACACAGAAAGTTAGTACTCCTAATATGCTTGCTTGGAAGAAGTCTCATATAGTCGGTCTCTCTCTGTCTCTCTATCTTTGTCTCTGTGTCTCTGTCTCTGCATTTATTTTCTGAATTCCAGATTTTCCCCCTCTCTCCAGAGCCACCCTCTACTGAGGAGGCAAACAATATGACATCCATTATACATCACATGATCTCTTAATTATACTACTACCAATTCTACAAGTCTACAACACTTTATATGGATGTTGTAAGAGGCTTAGTCAAATATCTTTCCAAAATCCCAGATACATCCATTCCAAATGCCCAAGGCATTTCCCTCATCAACTAGTCAATTAACCCTGTCAAAAAAGGAAATAAGGTTAGTCTGGAATGACTCTTTCTTAACAAACCTGTGCTAGCCTATAGTAATTATCTGTTTCTGATGACATAGTAGGTACTGGTCAAGGATGGAGATGTTTTCAATATATTGGTATCTATATTTGTGTCAATATCTCTAAAGCCTTATCTGATAGTTCTAGTTGCAAAAAAAAATTTACAAATATTTGCTTCCCCAAAAAGCTAAATATTTTCAGATAATAATTATAATGTTCTGATACACTAAAGAAAACAAATCCTGCCCTTCTGTTATTTAAAATCTTCTATTATTACCCTCTGACTTACTTTTCCAACTTTATTTCATATTACTCCCCTTCATGAACTCTACGTTCCAAGTAAACCAAATGACTAGCTGTATTCTTTGATCTCATCGTGCCCTCTCCTGCTACTTTTCCTATTCATGGCCCACACCTAGAATATACATACTCCTCTGCACTACACTATCTGGTGAAATCCTTCTCTTCCTTCAAGACTAAGCACTATCTTTTTTGTGAAGCACTGCTCAGCATCTCCTCCCCAGCTAAAAGTGATCTCATTCTACTCAGATTTTCCTAGAACACCTTATAATCCTTCTTTTTGCTCCTTCTATGCCATATCTTGAACACTGTACGTGTCATATTTCGCAAAGTAGACTACAAGATTCTTAGGGATTAGCATAGTGCCTTGCACATTGTAGATATTTAATAAGTATTAATTTGTTGAATAAAATTAACTTATAAATATTTTGGGGCACCATCATTTCTCTAGTCACAATGGGCACCAAGTTAAAATGATCTTGAGCATAATCTCTGGCTCATAAAACCAGAGGGCTGGAGAGGGATGAGGGCACTCAGAGCACCCAAGGGAAACCTCTGTCAAATCAGGCAGGAATTTCATAGATGTGTTTACTTGACTTCAGTGTAACTAATCAAGTCAATGAATATAAGTTCAGGTAAAGATTTTTGTTACATAGCAGACATGGTTTCAGTGAATGGTCAAGGCCTCTGCTTCTACATCTATCTTCTTTTGCTTTTTCGCTTGCTTTTCATGGGAATCTCTTTTTGGACAATCTGAATGATGCCTGCTCCATGTAATTTTCATGTTTCTACTGGTCTATTGATATGAAAAACAGAAGAAGGAACACTGGCATTTGTGTCTGATAATAATGTAAAGCTAAACTGTAAGAGACGGGGACCTTCATATTCTTCTCCTGTATGCCCCGCAATATCAAGCACAGGATTGGGCACAGAGAATGTTCTCTAGGAATGGATTCAGTTGGAATGGTATTTAAGGATTGTACAATGGATGGGAAGGCATGAGTGAGTTGCAATATTAGAGGGACCATCAACATTGAATTACAGGCTCATTTGAATATTTGAATCTGGAATCCCCACAGAAACAATAATTTTGGAAACTTCACATATCCAGTAATCATAGGTTCTTGAGAATGGAAACTTCTGCTTTTGCCTTCCTATCCTCAGCCCCAAGCACAATGCCTGGGACACAAGAGACTCTTGAGAAATGCTTGTTAAGTGAATGAAATGTGACATAGCACATATAAATACACACACACACACACACACACGTATACACAATGCGATGTACACACATACATATGTGCATGTGCACACACATAACATATATACACGTTCTTATATACATGTGTATATACATGTGTGTATTATATACGTATGCATCACACATATATTGTGTGTGCGTGTGTGTGCATATACATATATATGTATTACAACTTAAAACAATTCTTGAAAAAGCCATTCATGGAATAGAACTTCCTGAAAGTTACACATAAGAGACATATGTAGAGCCAAGAAGCCACCTTAAACTGTTGCTTTGCTTTTTTTTTAGTTGTTCACTTTTTTTATTAATTTATTTTGATTTATCAACAATCACTTCCATAAGCTTTGAGTTTTAAATTTTTCTCCCCCACCCTCCCCACCTCTCTCTTTGCTTTGCTTTTCATTCAAGTAAATATACTTTAAAAGAGTGTTCTGAACTTTCGAGCACACTAATAAGTCCTTAGGTTTTACTTTAAGGAAAAAAGTGTCAACACTATTTTTCCG